GTTGCTGGGATGAAGGAGCTCGCTCCACCATCGCAGTGTGTTCCAGCTGCGGTCGCCCCCCAGTGCGGACAACATTGCTGCGTCAAGCTGTCTGTAAGCTTGCTGTGCTGCCGCTATGGCACGGGTCCTCGTGGATTCCGGGACTCCCCCGTCACGTAGTTCGGCTTCCCCCATGCGGCGAACTCCTCGTTGGTCAAGCCCTCTCCCCGCCTTACTCTCATGCTGGAGATCTGGCGGTAAGCTTCACGTAGTGCGCCGCATTCGACTTCATGTGGGATCACCGGCTCACTCGGTGGGTTCCCCCCCCTTTGGGTGTCTGCGAGCATGGCGAGGGCAATGGAGCAGATGTTCGTGATAATCTGCCCTTCCGCCCCCTGCATGCTCTCTGCCATCTCTTCTATGAGCTGCAGTTGTGTGGCAACTGCCACCATTGCCCCCTGCAAAAAAAGCCACTGTGGCTGTTGGTGGCTCTGGGGCGGCTGCTGCTGTGGCTCTGTGTTGTCGGTTCCTGTTGCCTCTGCGCCTTCCCCCTCCCACGGGTGTGCGTCTGCGCCTGCGTGTTAGTCGGGGGAAACTCCTCGAGCGCACACTCCAGAGCACCCAGTCCATGCCAATGTGGGGCGACCGGCCCTTCGTTCCCCCTCCCCCACACCATGGTGGCTCCTTTATGGATGACACCTACCTACATTTGGGGGGAAAACCCGGACCACATACAGCACACACTGACGACACTCGAGCGACTCCTCCTGGAACATGGGTTGCGCATCAACCCGAAAAAGACGCACATCATCAGCAACAACCCCAAGAGCAAGGTCACATTCCGAGTGGGGGGACAGCAGGTCTCACCGGACGTGGGGGACACTCCACTCAGGGTCCTCGGGTCGCCTGTCAGCTTCCGGGGGAACACGCCACAACTGGCAGCAGAGATGGGGAGCAGAGCGCGAGCAGCCTTTGCGCAGAACAAGAAGGTCCTGTGCGCGCCCACACCCGTCAAGCCCAGGATCTGCCTCCATGACACGCTTGTGCGCCAGACAGCACTGTACGGGTGCGAAACCTGGGCGCCGCACGACACCCTCCTCCGTGCAGCCAACACACAGCAACTCAGCCAACTGCGCAGCATGGGTGGGGGAGGCAGAAGACCGGGCGAGCCTTGGGCGGAGGATGTAGGTGGACCATCTCTCTCCCTTGGTTCTATGTAGCAGTGCTCGTGCTTGTCTGAGGGTTCTGGTGCCGCATTTGGCGTCTTTGGGGGCATGCCATCAGGGCGGGAGGGATCACCAGGGACATGCTGCTCTGGAGGGGCCTGGACTTCCGGAGGCAAGAACAGCGCAAGCGCCCCGACCAAGGAGCAAGGCACGCCGCGAGATTCTGCAGCCAGCTAGACACAGAGAGGCAAATCACAGCAATAGCAGGTGAGCAATGGCCCCAGAAAGCACTGGACAGACAAGCGTGGCACAACCTTGAACAGCAATTCGTTGACCGTTTTGACCCACCGTGGGCGAGCAACAAGCAACCACAACTCACAAACCTGGCACCAGGACGACGAGGGGGAGCAACCGAACGGAGACAGCTACCAGCAACAAGTGGGGGATCACGCAGGCAAGGCACACAGCTACAGCGGATGACCTAGCCAACACAGTGGGGGACAGCTGCAGCTCAGAGACAGAGAGAGAGAGAGAGAGAGAGAGAGAGAGAGAGAGAGAGAGAGAGAGAGAGAGAGAGAGAGAGAGAGAGAGAGAGAGAGAGAGAGAGAGAGAGAGAGAGAGAGAGAGAGAGAGAGAGAGAGAGAGAGAGAGGCTTTGCAGTTGCATGCAGTTGCAGCCACAGTTCATGTTGCCCGCCACATGCAGTCAGCAGCCACATGACAGTCATGTTTGCATGCATGAGAATTTGTTTACTTGTTTTGCACAACGAAAGGGGGAGTCAGCTGCCGTTGCAGCGCACTTGCCCAAGCAACCCAAATAGCGTGAAAGCCCTTGCCAACATGGCAAGCCTCGCACTTAAAGTGCTCACGGCCCTCTGCTGGGGGATACCTGCCGTCCTGTGGGCTGCAGCCAGCCAGCGAGAAGGGCAAGGACCGCCGCCGACGCAAGAGAGTCAAGGAGCGCGGGGGGCCCGGCTAAGTGACAGCCAGACGGTCCAGTGGGGAGAGAGCCCCACTCACAACGGAGCTGGGCCGCTACCGCCGGCAGACAATGACAGGGGTGACGACGGTGCGGGACGCACACCGCGCCTCGATGTAGAGAGGAGGACTCGCGCAGACCCCAAGGGGGGAGAGGAAGCTTACCGCAGCAGCCGGCACAGACGCGCAGCCCACCGCAGGCAACTACCAACACACGGCCACACGTCCCCAAACCACGAGCCTTCCGCCAGCAGCAAGCCACCAACAAGCACGGGGGCGACCACAGGTGCACACAGCACCGCAACAACATGCAACGCCGCAGCCCTATGACCCCTGGGACACGGACACAGACACAGCCGCCACACCTCACCAACCGCCACCGCAGCAACCAGCGGCACAGCCTCACCTCGCACAACAGCCACAGCAGCAAGTACAAAGGTACCCTAGGGGGTATGCTCAACCGTGGGACGAAGCAACCGACCTCTGGCACGAAGATGGAGTGCTGGCGCCAGAAGAAACCCAGCCTCATACCCAGGCCGGGTGGCCAGCCGCCGCCGCAGAACCACCACCACCACCAGACCAGAGCAGCCCCGGCACAAACAAGGCCGTCCGCCCCCCGGCAAGGACAGCCACCGCAGCAACAGCCATACATCCCACCACCATGGGAGACCATCCCGCAGCCACAAGCGCAACCAGCCGCAGCAGGGGGCAGCAACGCCCAACCCACCGTCCAAGGCAAACGGTGGACCACACCCAAGAGGAGGCAGCAAGACGACCGGCAACCAACAACCCCAGCACGCCGAGGACCAACACAAGCTGACGCACAGCAAGCCACCGGCAGCGCGGGGGAGACCGCAGTGGGCAAGCACAGACGCAGGGAGCAGAAGCAGCAGCGGCCACAGACGGCAGAGCAGGAGGACACCACAGGGAGAGGACACCCCAAGCAGACGACACACAACAGCCGCGGCCCAAGCAACCACCACCACAGCCACCACAAAGCAGCAGCGGCGGCTCCTCCGACTACCCGTCGAAGACGACACAGCGAGCCCGTCAGCCAACAACACGGACACACAAGGCCGGGGAGTCGAACCGCCACCAGGGCTAACAGTCCGGGAGACCTACACCTTTGCAACCACCGGACAGCTGCCCACAGACGCCCACAGCAGACAACCAGAGGACTACGCAGAGGAAGGGGGAGGCGACAGAGACAGAAGACGCCAAGCAGCCGCCGCAGCCGCAAGCAAAAGCAAGCATGAGGGCGGGGGGGAACAACGCATGCGGAACAAACGCGAAAAAGCAGCACTGAAGGCGTGGCTCAGGAAGCACCGATACCAGTGGGGGCTGCCAGCAGACACGACGGACACACGCACACGCAACACCCACCGCAATCGGGGGCGGGCCGTTGGGCAACAAGCCCAACCACAACAACCACCGCCGCAGCAACCGTGGCCCAAAGGCGCAGCAACCACAGACTGGGCACTGGGCAGCACTGCTCAACAGACACCTGCTGCCCTGGCCCACGCCAGCCACACCGACTACAGACAACCAAGGGCCAGGGGGACGCCCAGCCGCAGCAGCCACCGCAGAACCACCAACGCCAACGGAAGGAGCCGCGGCAATGCCGGCAGACAAGCCAGCCGCAACCGCCACCGCAGACCAGCAGCCAACGGGGGCCCCGGGAGAAGCCACGGAAGCCACCGCCACCGCCTACAGCTACTATGGAGACTGGACCAAGGACCAAGAGCAAGCGTGCAACCGAAGCACGCGAACAACACGCTCAGCGGAACAACCACGACCCGCACCACACAACACCACAAGACGACCCATACCAATCCGCAGCCGCAGCAGCACAGGAAGGAGACAAGAGGAGCACACATGACAAGAAATGCGCAACAACCGCTACCTGCACCCCGACAGGGGGGAACCACAGCAGCCACCACCACAACCACCACAAGCAACCGACGAGCCACATGCGGAATCAGCCTGGGGGGAAGAGCGCAATGCCACCGCGCCGGAGGAACCGCAAGCCCACTTTCAAGAACTGGATGAAGAGGCGAACCGGGGGAACCACATCAAGCGACGAGGCCCTCCAGCACTTCCGCATACCGACAGGACGGATGCGGCTGGGAAAGGAAAATGGGTTGCTCGGGTCGAGTCGATCCCGGGGGCCCCCAGCGCTCCCACCAACAAGGAGCGGCCGCAGCGGGGGATGCTACCAACAGGGCAAGAACTGTGGACCTGCCCTGCCCTACCAGACGGAGCTATCGTCGAAATAGAGACCACAGTCGGCCTGGTGTACATGATGACGATCATCTCCCTGCCGCCAGAACACAGGCAGGAGGGGGGGACACTAGCGACCACCGTCGGGCAAGCTTTCTTCCTCGAGGAGATCCACGGCGTCTGGATGATCAGACCCTCGGGGGGAACCCGCCACGGACCGCCCCGGCGGAAATACCAACCGCCCCCCACCAACATTGAACGCGCAGTGGGCAACAGCACCAACCCGGGGAGACCGGCCAAAGCCACAGCCAAAGCAGCCGCAGCGGGGAGCACCCAGCAACACGGGGAGAAAACACCAGCAAAGCCGCCGCCAGCAAAGCCACACCGCAAGCCAAACAGCCGCCGCAGCGCCCCAGCCCCCAGCCAGCACGCCCCACACAAAAAGGGAAGCCACAGCAAAGCACCCACCACAACAGCGCCACGACACCTTCATGGACAGAAGGCCCCTGCAGGGCCGGGACCCACCACAACAACAAGCGCGCCAAACACCACCTCAGCAACCGCCGCAACCACACTTCTACGAGCTGGCAAGAGATGGCAGGCAACTTGGCAGAACCCCAGGAAACGGGGAACCAGACAACACGGAGCTCTGGCAACATCAACAGCTGTGCAGGACACCAGCACGCCGCAGCACGACGACCACCACAACAACCACAACACCCACAGTCTGCAGCGAAGACGGAGGAGGACACAGCCCCGGCATGGACGGCGCCGCGGGCCGAAAAGAGCACTGGTGAGTCGGGCCTTGTCGTACTCCGTTGGTTTGGTCCACCTCCACTTCTGCACCCCCCACTGCAATGTGGATGTGTCTGGCGTCCAGCCATGACAGCCAGAGGCGCGCCCACGGCATTGACGGCCCCACATGTTGGGTGACACTCCCCCCTAGACTGTCCTGCGCCACTGAGTCGAAGGCTTTCTGGAGGTCAAGTTTGATAATCCAGAAGTCTCCCCCCCAGTCCGCCCCCATTCTGGCGATCTTACGGAGGACCAAGATGAGCTCTACGCCTTGGCGCTGTGGCGACGCCCACTGATACGTGTAGAGGGGGCGTAGGCAGGGGTTCCCCCTAAGCAGCAGTAGTTGGGAGAGTGTCTTCAGGACCGCGCTGCTTAACGTAATTGGCCGTGTGTCTTCCCAGCCTGCGGGGCTTCCCCCCTTCGGGAGGAGAATGGTAAGGCCGCGCTCAACCATGGCTGGCAATTTGCCTGTGTAGAGTGCTTCGTTCAGCATCGCCAGGACTCTCTCCCCCCAAATTGGGTGCAGGATCAGCATTTGCAATGTTTCGTGGGCAATCCCATCCACCCCCGTGCTCTTGTGTTTGCCCCACCTGCTGCTGACAAGGAGTAGCTCTTGGTGTGTAAAGGGTGCAGGGGGTGTGCTTGCAGTGGAGCGTGAGTTGTCGCGCCATTTCGTTGAAGGCTGCCGTCTTTGCCTCCCCGTCTGCTTTGTGGAAGATGCTTGAAAAGTGGGCAAGCAGTGCTCCTTGCCAGTTGTGGGTGTCAAGCAGCTGCGCCACCCAATCCCCCTTCTTGCTGGTTTGTCTTTGGTGTTCCCGGAAGGCCGCCCAGTCCTTAGTGCCGGCTAGGGTCACAAGCCGCGCGAGGTGTTGTTTGCGTTCCCCCTTGAGCTGTTGTTGTACGGCTTTCCAGGCGGCTCTGCGGTCTTGCCCTGGTGGGAGGCTGCGGGCGTGTCGCCGCGTGTCCCGGAGCTGCTTGCTTTCACAGAAGGGTGCTGCGTCTCCCCGGCCTGGTTTGGTGATGCTGGTGCACACGTGGTGCCTGTCTGCTGGGGCTGGCGGGCTGCTGCGTCCAGGAAGTCCGGGATGCTGGTTCCCGGCGGTGGGTGTAGGTGTCTCACTCCCCTGCTCGGGTTTTGGTGGCGAGCTTGTGGACGGTTGCTCTGAGCTGTATGAGGACTGGTTCATGGTCAGATCGTGCCATGTCCCTTGCTGGGACAGGCCCTGCTTGCAGGCTGTAGCCCCTCCGAAGTAGAATGTAGTCCAGGCGGCTGGAATCGTGGTTGGGGTTGTTCCTGTAGTGCTTGTGGTGGGAGCCTGAGCCCGTGGTGTGCCCCCCAGTTGAGCACCGTTTCTCCCCTGCCCGTGTTGGCTTGTGTGGCTGTTGCGTCTGTGGCTGCTTCGTAGAACTGCTCGTTGGCGTCCATGCCCAGTACGATCTTGGGTGTTCGGAGGGCTGGTTGTTCCCCCCAGGAATGTAGTAGTGTGTCGGTTTCGGGTATCGTGGCGTGTTTGTGTGGGATGTGCCCGCTGAGCAGTCCCCAGCGTTCTCCTGTATGCATGCGTAAGACTGTGCTAACTGCTCCCTTGGTGACTGTGGTTTGTGTGTAAGTTGCAACTTCTGCGCGGAATGCTATCCCTTCTCCCCGGAACTCTCCGTCTTGCTTTCCATATACGAGCTTCCATCCATGTCTTTACCTGAAGAACCTGCCAGCTGCTGTGATCACTTCTTGCAGCAAGGCCACATGTAGCATGCAAAGGTGTTTGGCGCCCCCGAACGTGCGCAGCAGGTCAAGCGTGCAATCTGCTGTGAGGTCGCCCACGTTCCAGGTTGCCAGGTGAAAACAGTGCACCCGCTTCAGGGGCCGGTAAGTGCTCAGCGGTGTGGGTGACGGTTCGTCCTCCCCCTCGCTGTCTTCAGTGCTGCCGGTCGGTTCCTCACCTCAGCGGACCGTCAGCGGAGAGCTTGCTTCAGCTCCCCCCAGGCATCTGCAATGGTGGCCAGGGGCTGCCCCAAACCATGTGCGATTGCCCGCAGATCGACCCAGCCTGCGCCAGCCATCTCTGCCCGCGCAACGGGGCTGGTGGTGGCAGAGCACACTCTCGTAGCTTTCCACCAGACGGTTCCAGTGGGCCACTCCACTTCAAGGCCGTGTGTGCTGCCCCCATTGGCTGACAGTATCAGCCGCTTCACCTTTCCAGCTAGGTGTGCTCGTCGCCGGCGTTCCGGAGACTGTGACATCTGGAGCCACAGATATCGATTCCCCCCATCATCGCGCCGACCCATGGCAATGTTGGCCGTCCTGACTCTCTTGATGGCCTGTTGCAGGCGCTCCCGCAGCTCCCCCCGGTCTCGTTGTGCCTTGGCTTGTAGGGGATTATCACGTAGCCTCTGCGCACCGACGGGCAGAAAGCGGCGTCGGTATCGATGTCGATGCGGAGCTGGCTGATCATGCCTTTGGCTTTCTCCAATGTCTCGGCCGCCGGGGAGTCATCCTCCCATCGCCCCATAATGAGGGCGGGTTGCTTCAAGCCTCCTTCCGTGTCTGCGGTAGAGCTCCCCCCATGAAGCTGCAGCTGGTGCACTTTCTGCTCTAGCTGGGTCAGGCGGCTTCCTTGTTCTCGTTGGTCTGCTTGGACTGTGGCCAGGGTGCGGCCTTGGTCCGCCTGGCTCTCTGTGAGGGCCGCCAGCTTTTCCAGGGTGCGTTGTAGCTGGTTCCCCACCTTCTCCTCCACGGTGTCCATCCTTTTGTTGACCGACTGCACGATCTCTTGCTTGAGGGCCATGCTGCTTTGCGACAGCTCTCCTTTGATGACCTCGCGGATGGCGTCCAAGCTGAGACCATCTCCCCCTTCAGGGGCTCCTCTCTTTTTGGCCCCCCCGGGCCATCTGCATCAATTGGCGTAGTCATGGTTATTATTCACAGTCGGGTTGCCAAGTCACGATCACTGAGTTCACTTAGCCGACGTTCGAGGTACTCCCCCCGCAGAATCGACGTGTCGATGGCGAGCTTGAGTAGGGCCGCCGGAGCCGTACCAGTAGTGGGTGTCAGGCTCCCCCGCTCGCCTCAGCGCCGGTCACCCCGAGCTCCGAAGTTGCCGAGTTCGCCTGTTGAAGCGGTGAGCAGGAACGCGCGTAGTGCGGCAAACTTGTAGGGCAGCTCGAATGGCGGCAAGTCTGCCCTGGGCCTCAGGAGCAGGTTGTCACACCTGACGGGGCAATGCTTCCCCCCTACCGTTGGTTGAGGTGCCCGGACTCGGGCTGGCACCTTGAGCACTCGTGGCCTTGAGCCAAAATGGCTACTCTCTCTCTCTCTCTCTCTCTCTCTCAGCTTCTTTACGTCGTTCAGCCGCACGAGAAGCACAGTTTCTCACTTCCTGCTTCTCTTTGTCTTGTTCTGCTGCGATCGGCATGCAGTTCGTCCAGACAGTTCTGCCGAATTTGCCAGGTTCCGGCTGCTAGATTCGAAGCAGTTGCGATACTTTGCCTTCGACAGTGCAACTGCTGCGCACATTCGATGGAGATCGAGGTGGTGCGAGGTATGATCCCTTGTCTTAGCTCGTGTCGGAAAGCATGTCGGCCGGAGCTCCCCATAGTGATAGGCACTTAGAAGGATCTGAGGCTTGCAAATGCTTCAGACGTGGCATCCACCCGACCGCTTTACCTGGACCATGCTGCAACCTGCCAGTAAGTTCTACTCGATACTTTTCGATCATGGAAGGACATCCTCGAGAGCCAGAAGAGACAAGGTGTTTGCGATTTGATCGAGATGGTTACACAGTGAGTGCTTTCTCGTCGACGCTTAAGAAGCTTCGGCATGACCTACGGCTTCTTGAACTGCACATGCTGTAAGATCTTTGCATCCAGGGAACACCGGCTTGGAGTGCTGTCGTCCGTGCTTCTTTGATGAAACTCAGCAGCTGCCTCAGCTAACATTGCATTAATCCGACCAAATAGCTTCCTTGCGACAAACAACGTCCGAAAATCCTAAAGTCTTCCAAGCCAGCCGCAGTTGATCTTTCTTGGTTTGCAGGGACAGACCTCGGAGCATGCGAGAGGCTATGTTCAAGCTCCTTCACGGTCCTCTCGTCGGCCTCGATCCTGGCAGAAGGCCACCAGTTCGTTCTGGGCGATTTCGCCACCTTGGCCGACGGCCGAAAGATGGCAAACCTGGTCCTGCTTTTCAATTCAGCGTTAACGCATGTTCTCTCCATTTCGTTCTGCCCCTTCCCCGGCTAATGAGTTCAACGAACCAACTCCAATCTCAACGAAATCGTGAGAAACAAAACAATTCTAAATCTGCTGGTACGTGTGGCCGTAGTAGAAACAGTATCCACAGTACTCGCAGTACTAGTGGTACTAGCACACGTACTACGAGTACTACGAATACTACAAGTACTACAAGTACGACAACTACTACGAGAGTACTAGTAGCAGTGGTAGTATTGTTGGTGCCAGTGCTACTAGTAGTACTAGTAGTACTAGTAGTACTTGTCATACTTCTAGTACTAGTACAAACTACTGGTAGTACTCGGCTTCGTTCATCGTCGTTGTCGCTGCCGCTCTTGCCGTGGCTGTGGCTGTGACTGTAGCTGGGGCCGCGGCTGCGGCTGTGGATGTGCTTGTCGTTGTGGTTGTTGCTGATGCTGCTGCTGTTGCTGCTCTTGCTGTTGGTGCTGTTGCTGTTGCTATGGCTGCTGTTGTTGCTGTTGGCTGTTCGCTCTTGCGGTTCGCTGTTCGCTGTTGCTGTTCGCTGAACGCCGAACGCTGAATGCTGAATGCTGAAGACTGAACGCTCAATGTGCTGCTGATGCTGTTGCTGTTGCTGATGCTGGCGCTCTTCTTGTTGGTATTGATTGCCCGTCTTTGCTTCAGTTCGTCTATACTTGAGCGTACTTCTGTGCTTTATGTGTTTCCCTCCTTCTTTTGTTTTGAGCTTAGTCTTTCTTTACTGTGTGATCTATGTCTTGCGTTCATTGCCTACCTGCATATTACTGTTGTCGATGGTTCTACGGTTGTTCATGTTGCTCTTTGCGTGCGTTGTTTATTGGTGTTTTGCTTGAACTCGTACCTGCGTTGCCTTCTTCCGTCGGTTCCCTCTGTTTCCTTGCTTGTCATAGGGGTTTTGTTGTTCAGTGCCTTCTGCTGTGTTATCCTTACTTCGTCGTTCCTTTTTTGTCTCTGTCGTTATCCCTTCATTGCTTTCCAGAGTTCTTTGTTTCGTGCGTTCGCTTTTTTGTAACGCTTATGTCTTTTGTTCCTTGGTTGTCGAGGACTTGGTTTCAAGATTACTGGTGTTGTTGACCCTCAGTTGAATCTAATTTTGATTTAAATTTGTCGATTCTTATTCAACTTGTCTGTATACCCAAGCCCTCCTTTCCTGCATGAGCCCGCAACGCTTGAAACGACTGCTTGCAATCCTGCGATGCATCAGGACAGCTGGCTTAAGCTGCAGCCGGCTGGCTGTCGTCCTTGGCATACAACATGCTGCCAGCCCAACCGGACAACTCTGTGACAAACATGCTTCTCATAGAGAAGGCTCGGAGTCGAGTGCCCGGAACAACTTCTGGAATTTCTCTACAGCTTCATCCGAAAAGCCAGCTTGCCTCAGATGGATGTACGAATCCTGGCCATCAAAGACATTCACACATATTCGGGCACAACCGGAAACAGACTTGCATGATTGGCGTGGCAAGAAGCTTCCGCATCTTCTCCATGTTCATCCGTCGGCAAGAGTCACAAAGCAGAACCATGGCATCATAGTCGAGTGCTTCTCGAAGCAAAGCTCTGAACACACCTCCGCAAAGAGATGTAACATGCATGTGCCACTGTGTTTCACGACATGAACGAAAATGCCAGACGAAACATCTTCAGCCTGTGGTGGAAGTGACGAAGTTGTCTGAAAAGCCCAGCAGTCGCAGCATGGTTTTGACATCTCCAGGCTCAACCGTGACCTTGACGACCCCGTCCTTGGAAGGAAAAACTAGCACCGGGGAGTTAGACGGTCAGAGCCTGACAGCTGGGACTGGGAGTCTTGAGGCGAAGAAAGGCACACAGCGAGCGTGAGAAAGCAGCGACTCAGATGTCCATCTAGCCCCTAGAGCAATTACACCGATTTTACAACTCCTGCTAAAATTCGAACCAAGAGGCGTCCAAGACATCGGTGTCTGCATACTTGTCGAAGGTATCCCTGATGCCTTATGTCACTTACTCATTCTGAGAGAGTGTGCATCGGCCGACAATACAATCATCTGAAACAGGCTTCCTCTTTTTCATGTAACGGTACGCAGTAACTCTTGCTCTCGATGCATGCGCATTAGGCGGAGAAATTCCGAGAAGTCCAGGGAGTTGCTGCCGTTCCTTGACAGCGAGGCAAGCACGCGCGGCAAGGCTGTGCAATTGAACTGTCGGTTGCTCCAGTCGGGGCTCCAATCCACCGTCTTCAGCAGCACCTGGCATCGCAGCAAAGGCAAGGCATGGATTCTACCTGCAATCTGCCACACCTGCACTTCCGCCAGCTCGGTGGCGAATCCAAGTGAGCGCAGTATGCCACCCACTTGGATCACATCAACCTGCTTCAGTACCAACGTACCCCATGGACGCTTGCAGTAAGGCCGGCATGCAACTTCATATGTCGCCCTCTGGCAACCTCACCAACCTTTTCAGTGTCGAACATGTCGAAGCTTTGCTTAAATTCCTGCCGATGACATCACAGTTAGCCGCCAGGACAACTCTTAGTTAGTGCTTGCAAAGCTCTTGGCAACGTGCATCCGTCCCTGACTTCGTGGCGCATGAAGCCGTTTGAATTCCGGAAGAGCTCCATCCTCACTGCGAGGGGCGCGGAATTAACAGGCTCCAGCCCTCGACTATGAGGTTGTATCTTGGAATCACGGGGCCCCTTTATTTAGCTGAACTTCCGCTCGAAAATGCAGACTATTTCTGCCCCAAACCCAGGACTTACTTTGCGTATCTATGCTGATGTCACGCAGCTACAGTGCTTAGCTAACTGACTCTGCGTTTGCACGCAACCGCTTCTGCAGAATTACCTTGTCCAAAACTCGGTCTGCCCCACTGCACGCAAGGCACATTTGGACAAACTCATCGAAGTCCAACATCCCGCCTGACTCGGATCATTTGTTGCCCCAGGAAACACGAGTCTTACCGTGTGGCCACAGGCTGTGAAACAGCTTGCGCTAAGATCCACACGCTTCTGCGGGTCAACTGCTTCAATCATGTCAAAGATTACCTGAGAGTCACTTAAGACTTTTACGGCAGGCAGAGGCCAGAAGCCACATTTCTTAGATAGACGAACAGTGGAGCCGTGACGAGTGGAGCAGAGCAAAGCGGCCGCGCGCAGCGGCGTGTAGCCGAGACGTTGCAGCACCAGGCGGATCTCCTCCTTGCAGACACGGCCCAGCACACAGGAAGCAGGGTGCTCACAGGAGAGCCGCAGACGGCAACAGCTTTCAGCTTTCACTGTCAGCTTCCGAAGGAAAGCCGGTGCGAAAGGGAACGGCGGCTCGAGAGGTCCTCGTCCAAGAAGCCGCCTTTGTCCACGTCTGCTCGTGCAAATTCCTGGCAGACGTCCAGTGTGAAGTTCCCTGCTTCTTGTGCTGTGGCTGCTGCAACGCCTGCTGGTACCACTGGACTTCAATCTCTCGGAGGCGCCTTCTCACGAAGCAATGGCTCAAAGGCGGCTCTACAACGCTGTGCGAGTTTCTCGATGCACCGATCCTGGCCCAGATGAGGAACTCACCTCATCAAAGCTGGTGTCCCTCGCCACTCTGGGCTCTACAAAGTTCCATCATCCCTAAACGAGCACAATGAATTTTACAGGCGAGACACGGAATGTCATTCCTTCGGCCTTCTTGGTTGGCTTCTTGCCCTGGCTGTGGCACCGGCAGAAAAGGCAGAACGCTGGTCGGCAACATTTGTGTTCCGTTCCTCTTCTCCTTCTGATGGCGGCCTTCAAAGCCAAGAACCATGGACAACACGCATGGAAGCATGCATTGGCTCTTAGTGTGAGTATGATCTGGTCGCCTTGGCATGGCACTCCCAAGCCGCGAGGCCAGCTGCGCCGCCTGGCTGCCGAACATCTCGATCAGAGCCTGCCACATGTACCGAACGGCACTGCGCCAAAGCTGGAGAAGCGAGGCCTTGTTCGAGCGATCGTAGGGCAGCATCCGCCTCCCAGATGCGCTTGGCCTTAACCACGCTCAGACACTCCACTGGCCGCTCAAGATTAAGACAGCCTTTCACCTCTGCAAACGCAGCATCCCATCAATTTGCTCTGTCAAGGCACTTGGTCTCTGCAAACCGCGTGAAGATTCGATGCAGCTTCAACACCTCTTGCAAAAAAATGGCTCCGGCTGCTAGCGTTCAACAATCCCAGCCTCCGACTCTGCGAATCCTTCCGTTTTTCCTCAATGCAGAAAACGTGGGACTGGGACTTGGGACTTCGAAACATCTCGAACTGCTCTCTGCAGATCTCGACCGGGGGACTGTAGATCAAAAGGAGCTGCACGAACTCCTCAAAGTCCAAACTGCCCGAGCCATCCTCGTCCACCACCGCGAGGGCTCCAGCTATGGTGGTTCCTCGAAGATCACAGGCTACACATCAACACTGGGATCACTGCCTTGAAGAGAGTCGCTGCTTGAATGCATTCGCCGGGTTAGAGGCCATGCAATCAGGCCCCTGCTACCGTTCACGAAATGCACCCAAATCTCCGGTCAACTTCAGAAGATCCCCAGTAGCGTCTGCTTCGCACCCCCCTTGACTGCCTCAACTGGCCTTTACTCTTGGGCCTAGACCAAAACGTGTCAAAGCTGTTTGCAGCAAGATGTCTGGATGGTGTAATTCCCAAGGACTTCAACACATCTTCCTGGGAGGCACAGCCAACTGTCGGAAACATGCTACAAGCCTTACAAGCACTCGCTGCTAGCTGCTCTAGCTCTTGGCCACTGAAACCCGCTCAGCTGAGCGTCGAGTTCATCTGCGCTGAGCTCTCCAGACTGGTCCGCATCGAAAAGTGCGAACTTCTCACGCACCTCCCAGGAAGACGTGCCCAGTGCAAACCGTGGTCTTCTTCAGCTCCATGCTCAGTGCTGCTGAGCGGCTTGATTCTGATCAAATGCCTCAGAAACTTTTAAAGCCCACAAGCCGCTGCACATCACCCTTCCCTTCGTGGTGGTGACCTCACAAAACATGGCTTTCTGTAAGCCTTCTTTTACATCCACCTCTGTCGTTCGTTGTCTATCTGCAGGGGAATTTCTTTTCAGGTTCAGCCTTGTTACCGATCTTCAACCACTGATTATTGGTTTACGGTAGGTCTTGCGTCTTCTATCTTTCCAGCGGTTGCTGTTGTGTCATTCCGCCCTCCATTCTGGCTCCATAGCGGCCATACTATGTAAGCTATCGTCAGGAGTATTGCTGATGTTAACAGGGCTTCGCGTTTCAGTTCAACCTTTCATCAATCATAGCTGTCATAGTTAAGGAAACTGCTTCGGCACAGGCCGTTGCGGTCTGGGGCTATCGGAATCTGACCAGCCAAGTGTGACGGATGAGGATTTGGGATTTTGGCTGTCTCTATTTTGCGGCCAGGGGCCTAAATACCAAACCCCAAATAAACGCAAGAAACCCTAAACTCCTAAACCCGAAATCCTTAACCCGCATGGCCCCAAAATCCGGACAATACTACAGCTCGGCTCTGGTCTTCGAAGTTCCAGTGCAACCGCGACCCTGATCCCGTTAAAGCGCCGACCACGCCCTTGGCAAACCCGACAGTCCTAGTTGAGCGGAACTGGTGTACGGTTGGAAAGGGGGCCTGAAAACATGGCTGAAAGACTTCCCCAGGTCTACAAGCAAGCCTTTCTTTGGGACGTCGAACCCAAGCCAAAGTTCGAACCAATAGAGGGATCGCAACAACCTACCACTATTTCAGCATGGATGCCCTTGCCCTGGTCATGAAACTCATGAACTCCTCGAACTCCATGGTGGAATACCTCCTGGGCCGGGACATCTTGGTGCATGACATATTGTCCACCTGATGATTAACAGTCAAGGCGGCGTGATCTCAGCTACCATCGCGTGGATGTCGGCTTCCGAAATCTTGAGGTATCCAAGGTAGTCGAGAATCCTTGGCTCTTCGGGAGAGTATCTTCAGCAAACCACCGCCTCAAACTGGATGACCGGTGCTTGCTCGCCCGGGCTCTGTTCCAGATCGTCTGTGTGAATCTCTGGGCCTTAGAATCCACCGCTATCCCAACAGCTACATAATGCCACAGACGTCGCTTCATTGTGAGAAGTCTGACACCATCAAGAATCGGACACTGACAGCGCTACATTTCGAAATTTGCAACCAACTTTGACCACAACGCGGACAAGAGCAATGCTCCAGACTGCGCACGCAAACAAGAGAGCAAAAGGAACACCGGCGACGAACCTCCCCATCCAGGCCAAACCTGCCCACAGCCCGTGAAGGTCGCAACTGCAGCCAGGACTCTGAAGGCTTGCCTGGCACTACGGAACCCGCACCAGACTCCGCAAGGACTAGAGCCACCAAACTTCTTCGATGGTCCGAAACTTTCGCCAGGGCACCGATGCAGCACGAAGGCCTTTCGCAGACGTTCTGCATCCTTCTCCGTAAATCCTTCCGACCTAAGCAGGGCTCACGACTTCTCTTCTCCACGCAGGGAGGGCAGACTTCTTACTTGGCAAGTCCCCGGCGAGTCGCCCATCCGCATCAGCCTCTGCGACGGACGCACCCAAACCAGTGCTATCAGAGAGGGACATGGTTCCGGTCAAGCGGCACTTCCTGCTCATCGGGAGGAGTAAGAATCTCCTGAGTTGCGGGTGTCAGAACCTGCGATGCGACCTGCCTTGGCTGTAAGCCCTTATTGCCACGGCTCAATGAGATCCGGGTCTTGCAGATCAGCTTCACTTCCAGCAAAGACCTCACCTGCTGTCGAAAAAGAACGACTGCTGATAGGTTCCCGGTGGTTCCCTTTGCAGTATGTGGTACCTCTTGCTCTGACGTGTTTCAGCATAATTTTCGCTGCTGGTCCTGCTTCTTTGGCAGGTCCAGCTTCCTGCAGACAGTGGAAACTGTACGATCCACACCCCAGCCCCAAGTACAATAGTTCCTGCCTCGGGCATGACATTCGGCGCGCTCGTCTTTCGATTGGAGTTTCTTCGTCGCGCTAGCATGGCTTCAATGCTTTTCCGGCGCATCTGAATGGACTGCATGGAAGGAGCATGTACAATAGGTGAACCTAAGCGGCTTCTCAAGCGGAAAGTGCGAGAACGGCAACAGGGAGGCTCCGCAGGCTCACTGCAAACAAGTCTCTTTCAGGCGGCTCGTCACCGAAACTCGAAGAGGCATCTGAGGAGCCATCTTCTGCCTGTAGCACTGTGCGACAGGGACAAGACTCGCCATTGTATGCAAATAGCCCGACCTGTTCTGCAATTTTGAGGTCGGCCAGGGTCCACCAGCATTTGAGGCTTCTGGCAAAATCAGTTGAGATAATTAAGGACATCGTCGCTCTAAGTCGTAGACAAAGCAGGAATGTGCTGCTGGGTTCAGCTGCCTAAACTGCTTCCTTGATCGCAGTGCCGTTCCCTGGGCAGACGAAATTCATCGATGGCACGTTGGCCAGTCCCCCATCACAGTAAACTTCTGAGGATTGGGCTGGCCTAGAACCTGCGGTCAGACAGTGATCCGGCAGCAAGCAATAGGCAAAAGATGCGACAGCATCAGCACCTTCTCGCCTTTCGCACGCAATTCGCTTTGTGGCCCTGCCTTACGTTCGGCAACATGTGCTTGCGCATACACGTGTAAGCTGTCAGGCCCGTGAACACTTCGCGATCTCGCCTTCAATGGATTCCCGAAACTGGTCTTCAAGTTCTCACATGCAGCCATGCAGCTGCACGACTCCGTGAAAAGCTGCTCAAATGATAACGGAAGGTCATTGCCACCGGTCTTGGGCCTGGTGGCGGAACTGAGCAGCGACTTTTGCGCAATGGGGCAGTGTGGCACCATGCATCTCAAACTAACGTGACCCAACGAATCGAGCCTGCTCCTTGAAGCAACGGAACCTGCGAATGTGCACTGTAACTTACAAAGCTGCTGAACATCTCTGGCAGGTGAGAAAGGGACGGGGGCTATGCCATTGCGAGGACGCGGTGGCAGTCCCTGGCCGGCGAATGCCTCAAGCGATGCATTGAAAGACGTGACTTAACGAACCTAACGAGGCGTTCGCTGGATCGGCTCCAGCTCACGCAGCTGCTTCCTGCGAAGCCTCACATCTGAGAATGGCCACTCAGCCGATCAGCACATCGAATTCTAATCTTGTTGGCAGTCTTCAAAAAAAGTGCCACCCAAGAAGCTCATGATACTTCCATGCTGACTGTTCAGAGCGCCGCATGACGCCTTTTGCATTCTGGACGAATGAACTCCAGCAGTTTTGTTCGGACGTCAACACAACATACTTTCATGCCGAGGTTCGCTGGCAGTTAGTGGTCTTTCATATCCGCGAGCATTGCCATCACAGCGGCGGCGACAGTTTTCGCGGGTTTGCGAACCCGTGCCTGCTCACAAAGTTGTGCATCCAAGTCTGCACTGGGGAATCTGCACTGGAGCATGCTGCGCAGATCCACATGACAACTTGGGCATCATGCTATCCACCATGACAACACAAACTTGGCAATGCGGCTCGTTGTCTGAGCACTCCTAGCGAAACTCTGTTGTGCCACAAGAACATCGCACATGATCCTGTGCAGTAAGTATTTTGCAGACAAGTGGCTCGTTATGTGCTGCACCATGAAGCTCCATTCAGGCCATTCAGGTCTTGTATCACATGTGTTTGCCGCAATTGTCAACCTAGAAACTGCATCATGAAGCAAAATTACAATATTCTGTGGCAGTTGGATGCTGCTTCACGTCAGTAATGTGTTTTTGTGCAACATGGTCAACAACCTTTGGAACAGCCGAAGATTTGCTTGGGCATGACATTTCGTCAATTTCGTCAAACTTAAACTGAGCTGCATCTACGCAATGTCCGCCACCTGCAGTATGCAACATGTATGCTAATGAAACCTGAAGCATGCTTCGACATGCAAGCAAGGCCACAGTCGGCCTTACAAAGCATTGAGAGCAGCATGCTTGCATCAAAGCTGCGGAGCACTGCCCCCTGTTCGGCATGTAATTCGAAGTGAGCATCCGCCCAAGCCAAACCATGAAGTAGACAAAGAGCCGTTGTGCCAACAGGAGGGAGATCCGCCGTGCGATCGAAAGCTGCCGTTGCCAACATCTCAAACGGGCAAGCCACTGATTCCGCTGCAGAAATCATCGCAAATACAACAGCTTTTCACCACATCCGAAAATTCTCAGCACCGATGCAAGTGAAGCATGACCTTGCTCGAACTATATCCCGTGCGATCTTGCAGAACAAAAACTAGTTTGCGGAACGTGCCTCCGGCACCGTGGTGCTAGATGTCCAAAGAACGCCAAATTGGTCGGACCCGTTGTTTGTCAGAAGATACGACTCGCATTGGTGTGAATGGGTTTGCATCTTAGCTAAAAGCTACTACAAAAGAAGCGAGTTTACCACCAAAATCGAAAAGTTGTAAACCAGCTCCAAAGCAAGATGTTGTTCATAGCTCGCAACCCTCGCACTCTAAAGTGTGCCGTTGAGAGACGCACTGCGCTCCTGCCAATGCGTTGCCACCAGCCCATTTGCAGAACAACAACGGCCGCTTTTGTTTTGTAAAGCAGTGCCGAATGCCCTCTTCGTTGCATGCACCGTGCGATGCTTCAATTGCAGACACAACTTGCTCGGACAGAATGTAGAGAGATCGTGCCTGTAGTCGGCAGTCTCACCTTACTCCATGCAGATCCGGTTCCCGGCCGCACCACCAAAAGAAGCCACATTTTCGCTGTTAAACCTCCCTCTTGGAGAATGAACCCAAAATTCGGCACGGATCTTTCACATCGGCTCAAAGCTGCATTGTATTTCGCGTCTTACAGAAGCACTGCTACACGCGAACTCAAGCCGAAACTGCTTGCAGATCAAATTTCCAAACATAAATGCAAACGAAACATTTAGTGGCACCGTTCACGGAATGGTGAAACCACAGCGGAGCACGTCACCAAAAGAGTAGTCACCAAAAGAAGGATTTGGACGGAACGATCTGCAAAACTTGGAGAGTCTCTCACTTCACCCAAAGCAGAAGTGTTTTGGAAGAAACAACTTTACATGCCCTCGAAGCGAATCAAATTTGTGCGGAAAACAAAAACACATCGTCGTCATGTCCTTTCTGTCTGAGGTTGATGAAACAACCCATGTCTTTCCGAACAGTGTCTTTCCAAACACAGTTTATATCGTCCACGTTCTGATCTCTTTGAATTAGTGGAGATGTTAGCGTTCCGGTCTTGCACAAGTGGAAGCAAACGAGCCATCTTTGTCGAAGCTTCTTTCTTGTTCACCAATTCCTCAGCCGGTCTGTAGAGGGCGTGATCCAACGATCGGCTAGCGGTTGGTCCCAGAGAAAGAGGACCTGGGTTCCAAACTTTTTCGTTTTTCCAGGGCAGGTTCAGAAACCTGGGTTGAATTCTGGGTTCCGGAACTGGGTTCGAAACCCAGGATTGCACAAATTTCACAGCTATTAAGCCTCTCGGGCGATTTCGTGTAGAATGATCTCAGCCTCCATTGAGCTTTCAAGCGTCTGTTCACGTTCTTTTCTGTTTAATTTTCGCTTTCTTCGGATTTGGAGTTGAAGATAAACAATACAGACGTCAAAGACACAGGAAGTTTTTTGCAAAAGTGGAAGCGTTGAGAGGCGCAGCTGCTCCATTTTCATATCTTTGATTCTCTTTTATTTGTAGTTTAAGCCCGAAACCGATTTCGTAGGTATTCATATGCTTTTGAACCTGTTCTTTTCGTTTTTCGCTTTCCGTGGGTTGAATTACGATTTAGGCGGCTTCAAAGCGGGAAGTTTGCAATTTACAAAAAGCGGAGGGTTGGAGGGACGCAGCTCCTTCAGCAAGCTTTTTCAAGCACAAGTGCCGCTGACGATTGCAGTCTTTGTGTACCGCTCAAGCGATTTCGTGTGGACGTCTTCTGTTGTGTCGAAGAAGATCTTCAACCAATCCTAGGCCTGCCTTGAGCGGTTTCACCTGGGTTCAACCTAGGTTTCAACTTGGTTGGTTTGAATGGGTCTTCATCGACGGCTGTGGCACTCGGTCCCTGCAAGCAAGCGAGACCAATCCAAGCATCAAACTACAACAAAGCGGTGAAGTGAAGCTCTACAAAAAGCTGCGGCGCACAGTCTTTGCCAATGTTGGATGTTTAGCACGAGCTACGAAGTCTCAGCGACTGTTCAGATGCAATTATGCCGTCTGAGTGGAGAATACTGGTTCTAACACAGTGACGACAAAACTACGACAAAGCGGAGTCAGAGGCCGTGAGAGAAGCAGAGCTTTCGCGCTAACTAACTGCTTGCAACCAGTTGAGAAAAAACACGGACCTAAGCAGACGCTAAAAGTGTGCAGAAGCAATAGAAGCTGCGTTTTCGCTCCAAGAAACTGCAATATAACCGATGCGCGGCCAATGCTAAGCAGTGACGATGAAGCTATGACAAAACTCAGGTTAGATCCAAACCTGGTTTCGAATCTTGGTTTAAAAGCTTCGGATTTTTTTTTGGGTTTAAATCTGCACTTCACACGCGTTTTAAATCTGGATTTGAACTTGGATTTTCAAGCCTGGGTTTGGAATCTGAGTTTAATCTGGTTCAAAGCTGGGTCTTTACCTGGGTTTCTATGGGCCCCTCCCCCTTTGACAAAGGGGCTTGCTTTAAAGGGGCTTTAAGGGGGTGAGCAAAGGGGGGCTTTGACAAAGGGGCTTTAAAGGGGGGCTTAAGGGAGCTTTAAGGGGGGCTTTGAAGGGGAGCTTTAAAGGGCTTTGAAGGGGCTTTGAAGGGGGCTTTAAGGGGCTTTGAAGGGGGCTTTAAAAAAGAGGCTTTAAGGGGCTTTGAAGGGGGCTTTAAAGGGGCTTTGAGGGGGCTTAAGGGGGGGCTTCAATGAAGGGGGCTTCAAGGGGCTTTGAAGGGGGGCTTTAAGGGGCTTTGAAGGGGGCTTTTGAAGGGGGGCTTTAAGGGGGCTTAAGGGGGGGTTTTGAAGGGGGCTTGAAGGGGGGGATGAAGAAGGGGTTTTGAAGCCTTCAAAGTATGGGTGCTTACATTGTATTTTCTTCGCAAAACACCCCAAAACGCGATTTCGTGAAGTCTGCTTTTCTCATTTTATTTCTTTGCAAAAACCCCCCATCAAACGATTTCGTGTGGCTTCTTCTTCTTGTTTTGTGTGTGTGTGTGTGTGATTGCGTGGGGGCTTGTAATTGTGTTTTGTTTCATTAAGTTTGCTTTTCTCATTTTATTTTCTTCGCAAAAACACCCATAAAACGATTTCGTGTGGCTTCTTCTTCTTCTTGTTTTGTGTGTGTGTGTGTGTGTGATTGCGTGGGGGGCTTAAAGGGGAGCTTAAGGGAGGCTTTGGGGAGGCTTAAAGGGGGGCTTAAAGGGGGGCTTAAGGGAGGCTTAAAGGGGGGCTTAAAGGGGGGCTTAAGGGGGCTTAAAGGGGGGCTTAAAGGGGGGCTTAAAGGGGGGCTTAAGGGGGCTTAAAGGGGGGCTTGAAGGGGGCTTAAAGGGGGGCTTAAAGGGGGGCTTTAAAGGGGCTTAAAGGGGGGCTTAAAGGGGGGCTTTAAAGGGGCTTTAAGGGGGGCTTAAAGGCTTCGACCCTTTGCCCCCCCCCCCCCCTTAGGGGAGACCCCTTTAAAGGGGGCTTTAAAGGGGCTTAAAGGGGGGCTTGAAGGGGGGCTTAAGCCCCCCTTTGTCAAAGGGGGTGGGGCCCATTCTCACCTGGGTTTAGACCTCGATTTTTAAATCCGGATTCCAAACATAGGTTAGAACCTGGGTTT